AAAGGAGGAAATGGTGATATCAATGTTATGCTTTGGCCATGCAGGTTTAAATAGAACATCATTGAAAATAGTGAAACACGCTACAGGGAAATGTGGTTTTGATTTTCAAGAACAAACAGTGGATTGGTAAATAGATTACAAACCAATAAATTAAAGTTAAACATAAAATACCTTTTAGACATGGACTCTAAATCAGAGGGTTATTCTTTATTATTGAGATATGTTAAAATGACCAATTTGATGAAGAGGATTTAGATTTTAGTTTTCTTTTGTAGTAATAATAATAGGACATTGTATGGCCATATATCCCTCCGCCTCTCAGGTGTTATAAATGCCAGAGATATGGACACATTGCTGCAGCATGTAGGGGAAAACAAAGATGTCCAAAGTGTGGAGGAGAGCATAGCTATGATGAATGCAAAAATGGGAAGGAAACTTGTTGTAATTGTGGAGGGCAACATAGAGTGACTTATGGAGGATGTTAGGTCAGAAGAAAAGCAATGGAAATCGAACAAGTTAAAGTCACCAGTAATATAAGTTATGCAGAAGCTGCTAAAAGAGTGAAGCCAAAAGAAGTGATAAAGAAAGTTCAGCCAAATCCAATACCAGAACAAAAAGAGAGTGGGATGGAAAATGTGCTAACAGTTGAAAAGATTCTGCTGGAAACTTGGCTTAAAACACATCTTGATTTTGTTATAAAATGATATGAAAGCATAAGAAGAGACAGAGAGGGAGGATCTGGTGGAGGGTGTATAACATTCATAAAACAGGGAATTCAATTTAGATTACTGGCTAAAGGTAAAGATTTAGAATACATTGTTACTGAAATTTGGACAGTAAATGGGCCATTTAAAATAATCAACTTCTATAATCCATGTAAAAGAATTTCAATAGATTGGGGTGTATTTAGAGGGTAAGGTTATATGGTGTGGGGACTTTAATGGACATAGTACATTATGGGGTAATCATAATGACCAAAATGGGGATATAATAGAAGAAATAATGGATGTTAAAAATTTGGCATGTCTAAATGATGGAAGTGGAACCAGAATCAATTTTAGAGATAATACAGAGTCAGCAATTNATGTGTCACCATTAAATAATTTCCTTTACATTTGTTAAAGAAAAGCACTTTCCAACAGATACTCATCTGAAAACATTGCTACATTTTATAGCATTTTTCCTCAAATTGCTGCAGTAAATATATTTGTCCAGTTACATTTGTCCTTCAAATATTTCAGAAGTACCCTAGTCAGGCTTGTAACTAGCCAACATGGAGTGTGACCTTAATTATGTGAAGTCAAAGTTCCCACCATCACTGGTCAAAGATGCTGCATAGTTGCCACCAAGAGCTGAACCAGTTACTCCGATTTGAGAAAACTACTTTAGACAGTTTTCCTCTTAGTAATTTCACTGCACTTACCAAGGTCATTTCAATTGGTATTAAAAGTTGGCTGTAAATAGGTGCAACAGGTCAACATTTCTGAATTATTTCATTTATGTTTTAGCTGACCTTCAGGCTTAACATAAGAGCTAAGGGGGCAGATGCTCAAATAGATATTTGAGCTAATATGAGTTTAGCCCATTCCAAACTAGCCTAAATATATCTCATACGCTCACCCTACAGGTTGGTTTCATGGTAAGAAACCCCAACAGTAAAATGAAACCGTTTAAAATGTCCATTTATAGTTTTGGTGGGACTGTTCATGCAAAAGTATAAATGTTAGCGGTTTTGGTAACCGTTTTTAAATCCAGAAACTGGCCAGACACTAAAGCTACAGTTTTAAAAACAAAAATTAAAGGTTTTTAAATGGTTCAAACAAGGGATGACAGAAAGAGGGTTTGTAAAAGTTTATTTTCAAGATTCAGTCTCCAAGGTCAAAGCCTCCAGTCAGTTTCACCTGCAGAGGACAGAAGCATCAGTACCACAATAAGCTCCCATATAGTTCACAATATTCAGCCCTTACCTCATTAAACCTTCTGATCTCCTTTAGACCCAGACCCTGGGTTCTGTGGTGTTCCAGGTTGATCATCAAATGTATCCT